GAGAGCAGGAGCAGGCAGCCCGAGGTGGCTGGCGGCGAGAGCAGGAGCAGGCAGCCCGAGGCTGCTGGCGGCGAGAGCGGGAGCAAGTAGCCTCGGGGACCTGCAGCGAAAGCAGGCGCAGGCAGCCTGAGGTAGTGAGAGAGGGAGCAGGCTGCTTGAGGCGGTGGTGAGGGCAAAGTCAAGCTGTGTGAGGAATGCAAGCCCAGGACTGTGATGTTGAACTATTAACTGTGTTTCTTTGTGTTTTCCACGTTTTAGGAAGAAGGACTGTAATGTTTAACTCCTTAGCTTACTTTCTTTGTTTTTCTGTTTTGTATTCTGTGCCTAGGTACATTTGTCCCTAAGATAGCACTGTTAAGTAGCAGCTTGTAAATTTTTCACTGTACTCATGCAAGTGAGTGCATGTAACAATAAAAGTAAAGCTAGTTCCAATTCTAAAAAAAAGCTAATTCTAAAAAGCTAAAAATTACAACACACATAGGATTTTTAAAAAATTGAAAGATTTTTCAAATGTACCTGTAGAGACAATGCATTTTTCTGCACTGCTTTCCCAACAATGCCTTGTTCCTTGCGCTTCTTGAATTTTCTGAAGTAATCCTGAATTAAGAATGTGGCATAGAATTTTCCAACGGTAACTTCATCATCTGGAATATAAAGATGTTACACACTATGTTGTAGCTATGTTAAATTTAAGAATTATATGCAGCACTTTGTATGTTCATGCACCATTACTGTCAGAATGCAGTTAATTTGGAACATTGTCAGCATTTCAAATGGAAAATTATGAAATTTTTGAAGTTTATAAAACAAGACCTCAACACTAAAACAGGGATTGAATCCCCTAGTACCACCTCCAATGCATGCTCTGGAAGAGTGTGAAAGGTCTGGTAAGAGCAATAAATTGGCATATATCTGAGAGATTCTTGATTCCATATCCAGGTGGAACGACTAGAGTTTTTTGAATGATGATAAATTTATGAAGAAAAATAACTACTGGGTAGAAGCTGCTTTTGCCTGTGCCCATGGATGTCCCACTTCCATCTTTCAATTAGTAAGTATCTCTTTTCTCATTTGATCCATTGGCCTCTTATGTTTTTCTGGATTCCTGAATGGCTGAGGTAAAGGAACTCCCGCCATGGGTGACCTTGTAGGGACTGGTGAAGGTTCTAAATGTGCAAAGTGATCTGGAAAATTTTGGTCTAGAGCTAAGACTTGGTGTATTCAAGTCCTGGTGGAGTTTGTGGCAATTTACTGTGGATTGCTGACAATTATAAGAGTCCATTGGAACAACAGGGGAATTTCAGCCAATACATATTGTAACAAATAGATCAGATTAATGTAAACATTGACTGTAAAATGTTTGTGGTTTGTGAGAGCTGATAAAACAAATATAAGTTTAAAATATTGCAGTAAAATTCTTGATTTCAAATGCCCACTGTTCACTGATGAGCTCTTTGGCGAATCAGACTTGCCACAGGCATTTCTCCTAGGTGAGGTACAGTAGAAGAATTGATCCTGTTTTGCTCTTGTAAGGTATAGCCCCTTATGGCAAGTTGTCCTCCTCTTGCGTCCTTGTAAGGTTTTCATTTCTGTATTATTTGTTCCATTTTGTAGTCAAGTAGCGGACAACAAAAGCACAATCACAATTCCCATATATGAGTTAGTTTTAAGTGCATATGAGCCAATACCAGAAGCCTACAATGTTTTAGGAATCTACGGAGGGAACCTGGTCAAACATACGCACAGTTTGAAAGGAACAAACAAAATAATTTTGATGGGCGGATAAAAGCATTGAAAATAGATCAAACATATGACACTCTTAGAGAGATAATTATTTTGGAGGACTTCAAAAATTCACTTCTTAAAACAATGAGAACTCATGTGGAAGGGCAGAGAGTTAAGGATGCAAGATTAGCAGCGGGTGCATGAAATTCTTAAGAGGGAGGGTGAGCAGCTAGAGATTGTTGTGCACATTGGCGCCAATGAAATAGGTAGAAAGAGAGATGAGGTCCTGTGAAGTGAGTACAGGGAGTTAGGAAAGACACTGAAAAGCAGGACCTCAAGGGTAGTAAAATCTCTGGATTACTACCAGTGCCTTTTGTTAGTGAGACAAGGAATAGAAAGATAGGACAGATGAATGCATGGCTAAGGAGTTGATGCAGGGGAAGCGATTCAGGTTATTGGAACATTGGGATCTTTTCTGGGGAAGGGGTGACCTGTTCAAGACAGGTTGCACCTAAACTGGAGGGGATCCAATATCTTTGCTTGCAGGTTTGCTAGTGTTATTTGCAAGAGTATAAACGAGAGAGGCAGTGGGCTAGGAACCAGAGCAGCAGGTCAGCAAATTGAGTGATTGCGGGGAATGTAGATGTTCAGACCAGTAAGTCAAAAAGAAGGACAGGCAGAGACAAGTAAATGAACACGATTGTACTAATGGACTGAAGTGTGTTTATTTTGATGCATGGAGTGTTATAGGTAAGGCAAATGAGCTTAGAGCCTGGATCAGTGCATGGGACTATGATGTTGTGGCCATTACAAGGCTTGTTTGAGACAGGGACAGGACTGGCTGCTCAATGTTCCAGGGTTTTGTTGTTTTAGATGAGATAAAGAGGAATGTAAAAGAGGTGGAGGAGTTGCATTACTAATCAGGGAGAATGTCACATCTGCACTTAGACAGGACATACTGGAGGGCTCATCCACTGAGGCACCATGGGTAGAGCTAAAAAATAAGATGGGTGTAATCACTCTGATAGGATTATACTATAGGCCCCAACAGCCACTGAGACATTGAGGAGCAAATATGTAGGAAGATTATGGAAAGATGCAATAATAATAGGGTTGTTCAGGGATGACTTTAACTTCCCCAACATTGATGGGGACTCCCTTAGAGCAAGAAGCTTAGACACGGCAGTGTTTGTTAAGTGCTTCCAAGAGGGTTTTGTGAAACAGCATGTGGATAGTCCAACTAGAGGAGGGGCCATACTGGACCTTGTATTGGCTAATGAGCCTGGCCAGGTGACTGATCTTTCAGGGGGACAGCATCTTGGAAATAGCGATCACAACTCCTTAAGTTTTAAGATAGCTGTAAATAAGGATAAGACAGGACTTTGTGGGAAGGTACTTAATTGGGCGGAGGACAAATTACATAAGTATTAGGCAGGAGCTAGGAAGTGTTAATTGGGAGGAGCAAGTCCACATTTGACATGGGGGTAGTTTAAAGACCTGCTGATTAGAGTTCAGGACTGACATGTTCCAATAAGGAGGAAGGACAAGGATGGCAAGGTAAGGTTTCCTTGGATAACAAAGGAGGTTGTGAATTCAGTGAAATGGAAAAAAGAAGCATATGTAAGGTTGAAGAAGTTAAAATTAGACAGGACCTGTGAGGAATGTAAAGAAAGCAGGAAAGAACTCAAACAGGGAATTAGGAGAGCCAGAAGGGGCCATGAAATGACCTTGGCAAGAAGGGTTAAAGAGAATCCCAAGGCATTCTATGCATACATTAAAAACAAGGGGATAACTAGAGAGAAGGTAGGACCACTCAAAGATATTGGAGGGAACTTGTGCTTAGAGGCAGAGGATGTAAGAAAGATTCTAAATGAATAACTTGAGTCGGTATTCACCCAGGAGAAGGATATGGAAACAGTGAAATTGAGGTGCATGAGTAGGCAATTCGGCCCTTTGAACCTGTACCACCATTCAATATGAACATGGCTGATAATGGAATCTCAGTATCCTATTCCTGCTCCCTCCCCGTACCTTTTGATTCCTTTAGCTGAGAGGGCCACATGCAGCTCCCTTTTGAAAATATCTAACGAACTGGCCCCATCAGGATTTTATATGTTTCTCTGAGATTCCCCCCTCATTCTTCTAAATTCCAGAAAATAGATCCAGTATTCCCTCATATGTCAGCCATGCCATCCTGGGAATCAATCTGGTCAACATCTGCTGAACTCCCTCAATAACAAGAATTCCTTCCCCAGACCAGGAGACCAAAACTACCTTGATCAAGATCTTTGTATTCTTGCTAGCCATAGGAGATGTCCTGGACTGGTCAGTAGCTAATGTTGTTCCTCTGTTCAAGAATGGTAATAGGGATAATCCAGGAAACTACAGAATGGTGAATCTCACATCAGTGATTGAGAAGCTATTGGACAGAATTCTTAGGGATAGGATTTACATGCATTTGGAAGAGCATGGCCTAATTAGGAAAGGGTCAGCATGACCTTGTGAAGGGCGGGTCATATTTTAAGAGGAAGTGACAAAGGTGATTGATGAGGGTAGAGCAGTGGATGTTGCCAAAATGGATTTTAGTATGGCTTTCGATAAGGTCCCTCATGGTAGGCTCATCCAGAAGATTAAGATGCATGGGATCCATGGTGACTTGGCTGCGTGGATTCTGAATTGGCTTGCCCAAAGATGGCAGAGGGTAGTGGTAGAAGGATGTTTTTCTGGCTGGAGGTCCTTGACTAGTGGTGTTCCACAGGGATCCGTACTGGGGTCTCTGCTGTTTGTGATATATATTAATGACTTGAATGAAAATGTAGATGGGTAGGTTAGTAAGTTTGAAGATGATACAGAGATCAGTGGAGTTGTGCATACTATAGAAGTTTTTCAAAGGATACAGTGGGATATAGATCAGTTGCAGATATGGGTGGATAAATGGCAGATGGAGGTTAATCCGATTAAGTGGGAGCAGCTGCACTTTGGGAGACCAAATACTACGGAAAAGTATACAGTTAATGGCAGGTCCCTCAACAGCACTGATGTACACAGGGATCTTGGGATTCAGGTGCATAGCTCCCTAAAAGTGGCCAGGCAAGTAGCTGGGTTCGTAAAGAAGGCGTACTAGTCCTCTGGGACATCTCCTGTGGCTAGCAAGGATACAAAGATCTTGGTCAAGGCATGCTTGCCTTTACTGGTCGGGGAATTGAGTACAAGAATCAGGATGTCATATTGTAGCTTTGTAAGACTTTGGTATGGCTACACTTAGAGTATTGCGTTCAATTCTGGGGGCAGATAGGATAGGTGCCTTCTAGATAAACACATGAATATGCAAGGAATGGAGGGATATAGACCAAGGGTAGGCAGAAGGGATTAGTTTAATTTGGTGTGGGCCCGTTCCTGTGCTGTACTGTTCTATGTTCAAAATGGCAGATGATTAGGAATTGGTTCATAAATCAAAGTTTGGTTTCCGAGATCAATTTCAATCTGAGAAGAAATTGGGGGAAAAAAGAAATCCTTGGATGTAAGGGAAAAGGAGATCTCATTGGAGATAGTGAAGACAGCTGACCACAGAGTAAGGAAACCACTGAGGGGGAAAGAGAAGTAAAAAAGTGCAGGTGGTTTCACTGCAATAAAGTAGGCTATATGAAGTCGCAGTGTTGCTAGTTTAGAAAAAGCACTGGGGAGATGGAGGTGAGAAAACAGGATATGCCAGTGAGTTTTGTTCAAGTGGTTAAAGAAAGTGGTTAATGGAAGCTGAAAACTGCAAAAGAATGTACAATCTTGCCAGGGGTTGCTTGAGAAGAAAGTGCCAGATCTATTTAAAGAATTTACTTGTGTGGCTAAAGTTTACACATTTATGCCAGGAGGAGTCGGTAAAGAAATTAAGATTGTAAGAAATACGGAGGTAATTCGATCTTTG